GGGAGGTTCTGAAATAGTAAAAGTGCTTTGAAGATAAGCCTGGGTGAGTTTTTGATATTGGAACTTCGACATTAATTTTTTTCCCTTGACTTTCATAATTGTCAATCACTGACTTCAAATTTGTCCGTATTTCAGGTAGAAACAGCTGCCTACGATCCAATCTTCTGGTTCCATCACAGCTACGTGGACTGCCTCTACGAACGCTTCCGGCAGAGACAGAAAGAGCGAGGGGTGGAGCCGATGCGTGATTGGCCAGTAGAACACGGGGACTCCGCCCATGCGCCCTTCGCACCAATGCGCATCGGAAGTCTGCGCAACATTGATGGCGCACAAGATTTCTTCAGTCGAGAAATAGTCCGCTGTGAGCCCTTGCCGGTTTGCACTTCGGACCGGGAGTGCGGAGACTACATGCGCTGTGACCGTGCTCGCCAGAAGTGTATATCTGACACCCTCCGGCCACCCGCTCAAGTGGGAGGGATGTGGGACAGCGTTGAGAACCTGGTAGGCTCCCTATGGCGGTCCCGCCTCTCTGCGCTCAATGACCCCCTGGCCGAGTCAAGTTTTGGTTTTGGCAACGTTTTCCAACAGCCGGAACTTTTCCAGTTTTCAGGGCTTCGTAACCCCAGAACAAGAAGAATGATGTAAAACCGTGTTCAGCTCGTGTATGGTTCAGAAGATCTCCATGGGGATGTACTCTAGTTCAAACTTTCTCTAAGTCGAAAAGTTCACCAAGCGGCTGTGATGTTTTTCAACATCCCTTTGATGATGAAAGCCGCTGAATCGTCCCCAGAGAAAAGACCTACTCCCCGGAAAAGCAAAACAAAAACAATGTCAAGGTTCAAGGTCAATGCGGCAAACGATGATTAATTCGTTATACACAGAAATTTAAGCTATGTTCATGTGGAGAAAGGGTTCAAAATGCATGCTTCATCTGCAGTCAAATACAAAGACATATCATACTGGTTTCTCAGAATATAGTTCAGTAATAGACAATATTATTTCTGTTCACATCCTCGCCACCATCACCAAAAGGTTCATTAACCGTAAATAATTAACAAGAAAAACGTTTGAAGATCAGCCTCATTACACGAGATATATTAAATGTGAAATTACTAAACCCCCCTCCTCTTCCTCTCCATCCTTCTCTTTCCCTCTCATCCGCTCTTCCTCCTCCTCCACCTCCTCCTCCTCCTCCACCTCCTCCTCCA